TGCAACTTGTGACAAGGTTCGGTGATCTACTGAGGAAATGGAACATAAATAGAATGTATAAAGTGAAATTAACACTTTCTTCAGTAGTTCCTTCGTTTAAAGAATATTCAGACTCTCATTCTAGATTAGGCTGCTACAAGGTTTTGTGCTCATGTGGTAAGGTATATGTAGAGAGACTTGCCGACCCATTCACAAGAGACTATGCGAACACAAAACCGCTTGTAATTGTGTGAAGGTCCAAAAATCTGAACTAGCTGAACGCCTGGCCAATACAGAACATTCAATAGACTAGTCGAAACACAATGTTTTGCGAGTTACAGGCACTTCAATTGAAAGCGTAAGATTCGGGAGTTTATAGAACTTAACAAAATAGCCAACTTTCTGAACGAGAAAAACGAGTGTAGAAAACTAAGTATGAAGTTTTTGTGGATGTTGCTTAAACTTAGGGAAAGAGATAGAGATTAGCCTCGAATATAGTTACGACTATAACATTTTCCATCACATGAGCATTATATGCACACAAAATACAATTTTCACAGGCCGAAACATGATTCAGTATTAAGCGATCGTAAGCTAGTTTTTTGTGTAGTCGCACCGAACACACTTCCGGTTTGGGAAGCAACTTCACCCATTTGCAAGCATGTAGAGTAAGGTTGAAGTAGCCAACCAAATCATGGGAGGCCTCATTAAAAGTGCAAAGTCAGGCCGGCCTCCTTTTCTCTTGATTTAGTATATTTTTGCGCGATTTCTTAAAGTATGGATTCTTGCTCTGATGATATCTGTCAAGCTACAGACGAAGGCTTAGCACACTTTCATCGGGTTCGCAGGACGGTGGGCCAAGGACTTCTTCGCACAATTCAACAGTCTTCCTTACGCGACAATTCTCCTTCGGTTTTCGGTGAGACCGCATCACGAATTCCTTCCAACCAACTTTCCTTTCGGAATGGATAAGCATGAAACAATATTTCCTTAAGGAATTCTCCGAAGCCAACTTTTTATTCATATCTTTTGACTCGCTGAAAATAGTAAGCAAGCTGTTGGTCAATTGATAGATTTCACCTTTCTCTGACATGGTTTGGTGTGGGCCTAAAACTCGCAATTTTCACTGAATTTGCTGACTACAGTGCCGGAGGAACGCCTGCAAATGTACCAAGTCCATTGTCCGAGGTTGGGAATTATCAAAACTACTATAGCAAATGATTTAGGACAAGGTGCAATTATCTATGTTAACCCGAGAATACGACAAATTTGCGCAAACGAGTTCCGACTACTTACAGAAGATACCTGCTTGAATTTTAAGTGACACGTGTCCCTTAATAAAATCCGATTTTGCTGGTTTGTCGTACAGCTACTACCGTCAAATGAATAGAAACCATAACTTAATTCTGTCCTTGAGACTTAAAGTGCCTCTTAAGCTGATAGTATAATTTGGGCTTGCTTTAAATCGGGAAAGCTACCCGGCGAGTTTCAGACCATAGAGTTCGAGCCCAATTGCTAAAACGGCTCAGCTTGTGGTCTACATGCTAGATTTATTTCTAAGCAGGACATATTAATGAAACTCACTTTGACTATGCGAGCATATAAATGTGACAAATACATTTTGACTTCTGCCTCCTTGTTTGATTATAGGGTGAAGGGAAAATTTATTTTGCAGGTGATAAATGATCTTTCTGCATTTAGATGACAACTTGTATGCGTCCTCAGCAACAACCTTTGGGAAGAATGTACATTGCAAAACGAACCTAGAGCACACTTTCAGCACTAGTGCCCATCAGCCTATAGATGTGCTGCTATGGCAACTGTATAGCCAATTATGGAGCTATTACAAATACATATTCATAGAACGTAGATTTCTGAATTCTTATAACCATCAAATTTGGGAAGGGAAAGCACCAACCCTGTTGAGATCTAAAATGTAGCAATATGGCACTGAAGCTGTGCATGGGGCTTCCGGATCGTGATCTTTATTTCTGCTTGGGCAAGTTCTGCACTCGAATGTAAGCTAAAAATATGCTACATTATGTTCCATGGTGATGTAAGGCAAATATTGTTCGTTTCAAATAATAGTTTCAGTCAGCCAAAGTAGCATGAGGTGATGGTTTAAATTTTCCACAATAACATGAGCATGCCTAACTTTTCCATTCAAGTTCGTCTAGCCTTGCTTCACCAAAGTTATTCTCATTCAGTCTGTACTGCAGTCTCAACCTTGCAGAGGTCTCATCAGCATTCCCAACGAGAATCTCGGCACGATACACACATTTATCATGGCCACAAACGCCTCTGGGTCAAAGAGCAGACATGAACCTCCAATAAAGCCAGGCATTTCACATATCGCATTTATTTGGTGGGGTCTTCGACGAATCAAACTTTACTTTACTATTACAATCTATTATGCTACTTATATTCATAGGAAGTAGTTTTCAAAACTGTTAGCAAATCTTGAATAAGTGTTCAAGTCACCCTAGGTCGCATAGGGTGATGAAGGGCTGATAGTTGAATTTGAATGTTCACTGTATCTTCCTCCCATTTTCATACCTTTTTATTCGCCTCTTCTCTCCCCCTGCTCTTCAGCCCCCTGCCCAGTTCACCAGGTGCTTCAGAAACTAGTCCACAACTGTCACCAGTCATACTCGTTGTTCACGCAGGATGACGCCGCCTACGGCATTGCATGGAAGGATCTCGTTAACCGATCGGATGGTACCAACAATTCAGCAGTCGAATTCACATACACATCTGCTCCCGGATTATTGGCACCGCTCCATTCTGGCCATGTGGGTCTCTACGCAGCCGGTGGGTATACGTCCACATTGAAAGGTCCCGTCGATGAAATGCTGGCCAAAGTTGACTGGTTGCGGGATAACCAGTGGATCAACAACGTAACAAGAGCAATTTTTGTAGAATTCACGGTCTTCAATCCAAACACGGGACTCTTTGCCTTCGTGACAGCCCTTTTTGAGATGCCCGGCATAGGCGGTTTGTTGCCCAGCTTCCATATAGAGTCGGCCGACTTTCTGAAATTTTTAAACGCCAGTCTCTCGCCAGGGCAAATTTTCCTACAGGTAGTTGTCTGGTCTACAGTCGAAATCATTTTCTATCCGATTCACGAGAGGGCAACGTGACCAATCAACTTGTATTCGTCGTGTGTGCTTGATGTGTTTGACGCGATCGGTAGAT